TGGTTTGCGTCGCGCCTGTTTGTCCATCAATCCTGCGTTCATCATTGGTTGTACAATCGTTGCGTAATGTTTATCGATTTCCACGTGTCGAATGAATGAGTTGGTCGAAAGCAGCGCTTCAAGGATCAGACGTTCCCCCTTCCTCTTTGCGCTTGCCACTACTTTTGCGTCATTGATTCTGACCTCGTGACCTGTCGTTGCGCAGTGGTTCCAGAGGTGACTTCGAGTCTGCGCGTCGTAGTGCAAGTGTGCGTTTGTGTAGGCGAGTGCACAGTTGTTCGCCTGTCTCTCCCACGTACCGTTGGTCGCAGTCTAGGCACGGAATCGCGTGCACCAACCCTGATTGGTCGTGTGGTTTTACATAATCCTTGCCGTTGAACAAGATTGACCGCAGCGTTGGTGTAGGTTTGTGGGCAATGGTGACACCCAGAGGGCGAAGGATACGATCAACGGCTTCTGATACCCCACGTATGTATGGTAATAAGAGTTTCGTTTTCCTCTCTTCATCCTTCGGTTTTCTTCTTCCCCTAAGGCATGATTGGACGAAACTTTCGGCGTATCCATTTGTGTGGAATTGATGGAACAGATGCATTCGTTCCTGATGCCGAAGTTCCTTTGGGCTGTAATGTGTGTCTGCACGGCGGAATAAAGTGTATACACAGCTCCTAAGGTGACACGTAGGGTGAGTGCTGTGATAGTTCAGCACCTAGGCTGTTGTTGTGGATTTTCTGTGCACAGTGGTTTCTGTTTCCGTCTGGTTTTCTTATGACGAGGACGTCTAAGAAAGGGAGCTTCATGTTGTTTTCCTCCTCGCAGGTAAACGTTATCCCTGGCATAACATTGTTTAGGGTATCATGAAATTGTTCGATTCTTTCCGCCTGTAGCACCACAAAGGTGTCGTCCACATATCAAACCCAGAGGCGAGGGTGGTATTCTGCAAATGCCTTGGTTTCGAATTGTTTCATCACCGCATCAGCTAGTAGGCCGGATATTGGTGATCCCATTGGAGTTCCTTTCACCTGTCGATATATCCTCCCGTCAAACTGTAGGTATGTTTCCATGTAGAGTTCAGGCAGCTCCAGGATGTCAGTCGCTAATAGTGGTGTTCTTTCTGGAAGACGAGGATTATCTGTTATTAGATTCCGTATGCTCTACAGAGCTCCAGAGCTATGCTCTCCAGATATGTTTGTAAACAGAGATGTGACATCGAAGGACACCATTTTTTCTTTCGGTTTCAGTTATAATACTCCTNATATATATATATATATATATATATATATATATATATATATATATATAACACTGGCTTGAGAACAAGCAAAACAATGATGATGAAGTTATGGAGGAGTACAGAAAGATTAGACGAAAGTGGGGAAAACAAACAGGGAGAACAAATGAATGAATGAATGAATGAATTCTTTATAGCTTCACCGTACACTTTTTGAAGATTTTTTCTTCGTTATGGGGAACGGGGTTTCGCCAAACAAACTGCACAGTAATCGCGCCACTGACATCTATTTTGAGCCATATCTCCCAGCGTCTCTAGCCATCTGCAATACTCATCCCTTGGGTCGTAGAAAAACTCACCAAGCTTGATTGGTAGATCACCGTTTATCTGACATAGCC